TGCCTTGACATCCAAGTTCCTGCCTAACGGTAAGGATGTTCTTAAAACTTTTTTGCTTTGAGAACTCCAAGATGGTAGATCTGTTTATTGTGTTTGCATTATTTTTATCTTATGATTAATAAAATACTATTTACATGACTCTGCCTAATCCAATTGCAGTTAAGACTAAAAAATGCTTGACCTATATTATTACTTTATAGTCAGTTTAACCATAGTCACAACACACAACTTACAATGTTCATAGTCATTCAAGGTTAAAATTAGCACACTTGAAGATAACTGAACATTAGATAAAAATCACAAATGTGCCTTTTTGAACAGGCTCATTTACAACTTACTAGAACCTATGGGCTGTGTTCTTTGTAGCACATCGTGAGTTTCTGTACTTGGTTGGTTGGTTGCTTGCTTGCTTAGCTGGTTTTCATTCTGCAAATTGTGATGGATTTGTGCTGATCCATCTACCTCTCTCCCCAGATCTTCCCCACTGACACACGAATTTTTATACTTGCAGGTACAGCCTGTGACCAAGAAATTGGGCAGATTCACCAATCTATACAAAGAAGAAATCTAGAACCCCAGCCTTATTAAATGGCAAAGAGCATATACAAATGCAATGATCATTAATTGACAATTAGCATCCAAGACTCACCAAGCATATTTAGTTGCCACATTTTCAAGTCCAACTTTGCATTTTAGTTCACAAAAAAATAAAGAAACATATAGGGGCTGGCCCGGTTGCTTAGTGGTTAAGTTCGTGCACTCCACCTTGGCAGCCCAGGGTTCACAGGTTTGGATCCCGGGCACGGACCTGCACACCACTCATCAAGCCACACTGTGGCGGTGTCCCACATACAAAGAAGAGGACGATTGGCACAGATGTTAGCTCAGGGCCAATATTCCTCAGCAAAAAAAAAAAAGAAACAAACACATAAAATAAAAGTACCAGAAAGCCAAGGAGCACATCAGAAGCTGCCTCCTCCCCCATGTGCCTTATCCAACCTGTCCTGCCACAGGTCCCTGTAGAGCCACCTGCCTGCTGGTCCTACAGCCAAGGGGATCCTAGCTGGGTGCTCATCCCCCATGATATTCAAGGCCAGGCACAAAGCAGAGGTTCCATAAATGTTTGCTGAATGGATTAATGAAAATATCAGAATGTGGTTTTATTTTTATAGGTATTAAAAAATCCTCAAGAGAGTCTTGTGACTTCCTGCTGGCTGATTACCACTCCAACTCTTTCCATATACTGAGACTAGTTTAAAAGGTAGGCCAATATTTACCACTGAGCAGTAATAGTCATTCCACAGGAAGTATAAGAATAATATCAGCATCGTAACCACAATACATTAGCATTTTACATCTGAAAAGCAGTGTGCTGTGTATAAATCACCTTCCCTCTATTATCTCATTTAATCACCATAGGCATTACACAAAGCATCACAAATCTTATTGCTGTTGCTTTGATGGCAGAAGGGAGAAAAGGTGAAATCCAGACCAATCAACATGTAAGAGTTAGGACAAAAAAAATTTTAACTAAAAGGAATCTAGAAGTTAATCTTGTCCAACTTCCCAGGAAAACCTGGTAGATATGTTTTTCTCTTTCATTATAACTTGACTATTTTCTCCCACCTTATTCGAAAAGCTCTGCACATTGTCTTACTGGTTCTACCCGTCAGAAGAGAGAGAGAAAGATGCTGGTACTCCCTGTTGAAACAGCAGCAAAATCTTTACCCATAGATCTGACAGGTGTAAACATGGCCTTTAATGCCGATTATGACAATGGGAAAAAGGTGTGTGGCCTCCTAGGCAGATTCCCTTAACAGGAAAACCAAGATTTTTATATTTAAATTGCCAGCCAGGCTAAACAAATTATATCTTGATAATCTTAAAGTTTAAGAGTAAAGGATACATTCTGCATTCCCCAGAACAAAACACCTAATCAAAACAGATTTTATCTTGTCTCACTTTAGAAGCTGGCAAGAAAAGTAGAATTGTCCCTTCTGTCTCATAGTAACTCAATTCAACAAATAATACTGGGCCCTACTATGTGCCAGGAACCAAGTCAGGCACTGGGTGATACATGCAATTATTTAGGATTAGTAAATTACCATTATTTCCCTGAACTGAAATCAATAAAAATCCTGTCTTAAATATTAAGGTACTATCCCTGGCCCCCACATTGTCACCTTTAATTGAGAACATTTCTTTTAAGAAATCAACAGCAACCTCTAAGATCAGAGAGATTCATCATCTGTTTTAATATCCGCAATCCTATTAAAAGCTGTTAAAAATAGTACCTCTACGGTTTTCTCATTTCTCTTCCTTTCCACTCTCCTCCAAATAAAAAAGGTTAAGTGATAACATCCAGTCTAAAGAACAATGGACAATACATACACACACAGAGCTCCCTCTTCCAGCTTCCAACATCAACAACAAGAAAGTCAAACACCGATTAAAGAGAAAAAAAGAAGAAAAGAAAAGATGGCACACACCATGATTCCTGTCCAGTGCACGGGCAGGATGCTTCCTCTAGTCCACAAGCTCAGCAAAATCTAGAGTCAAACTCGAAAGGAGCATTTTTTTCTGGAAGGTAAATAAAAGAACTGGGGAACTGATCTATTTTAAAAATAAGACCCCAGATGCAGTCAATGAAATTTTCATTTTTCAGAAATTGGTTTTTAATAAACACCATGTAAAAATTAGGCATGAGCAACCAAGTCAATCTGAAAGGCAAGAAGAAAAGAATGATGTGTGGCACGTCATTTTCTCTGAAAGTGGATAAGCAAAAAGTAAACACAAAAGACCACCACAGGAGGGCTGTTTTTTTCTTTTTTTTCAGTCCAGTTTCAGTAAAAACTGGACTTAATGTTTAAGGATTTTCTTAAATCCTTTCACAGGGGATACCTGGCACACTCATAAAAACTGACATTTCCTTTAAGATTTTTTTCTCACATCCAATGATTAGCCAGTGATTTTTATGGGACTGTTTCACTGCACTTGTGAATTTTTTAAAAAGCAGAGTTAAAGTGACAAAACAATGAATTTTTTAATACAAGCGCAAAAGTTGGGTTGTGGGGGAGTGGCAGGTAAAACAAAAAGGCCATGTCAAATTCAAGGCCCACTGATTTTGCCACAAAACTGCTAGTAAATTGACAAAGAAATTAATCTCCTTCTAAGGTAACCTAGATCCCCACAAACATTCCTCTACCCATGCTTAGACGCTCCGGAAATTAACCTGAGTAATTACCCCAGAGTTTTCAGTTTTTTTTCACTAAATGCTTTGGTGGGTTTGGCACCTCAAAGACAAGTCTGCGATACAATTTGTAAACTTAAAACACACCCAGTAAAGAAAAATAATAATAAAACGACCAGAACCGCTTGACTTCCTTTTTAGGAACTACTTAGTTAAGTATCCAAAATTAGCTCTCAGCAGTATAGGTAATGCCACCCTTTCCTACTTGGTAATTATTCTCAACAAACTTTGGCTTTAATCTGGGTAGACTGCAAGACAAAACCATAGAACTGTATAAGACAAGCTACAAATTATAATCAGTTATTTAATTTAGAAAACAATCTTTAGGAAACATTTGGCAACTCTCTTAACCTACATAACACTCTGCATTTTAAAGAACGTTTACAATCAGATAACCCCTTTAACCGGCTCTAGTTGTGGGTGGATAACGTCCCTTCATCACAAAAATAGAAATTACTGACATCAACAAATGAACAACAAAACAGAATTTGAACTCAGAAATTTTGACTCTGCTCCATCCACAAGGTCATATATTAACTGCAATCACCACCCTTCCCCACAAGATCATCAACCACGAAGCCTTAGGGGAAACATCTCCTTCAGCTAAACTAAAATAACCCCAAATACCAGGTAACGTTATAAAACCAGTCCTTGTCCAGCACTTCTTGATCATGGAAGCATTTACAGTCTTTCTTAGTACAGCCTTAAGTGGAATTCCTAGAAGGCACTGGCAAATCTCTGCCAGGCCAATCGGCAGTCGAAAACCTACTGCATGTGTCCAACAAGATGAGAGGAGAATCAATGTTTTTAACCATCTACTTCAACTCTGCACTGCACTAGCGGTTCCGGCTAACAAGGTAAACCTGGTAATTGCATAGGATCGAACACAGCCAATGTCAGTGAGGATCCCCCTGAACACAAACAGGCAGCTCTGGGGAAATATAATTTCTGGAACAAATTCACGGTGCTTGCATAATTCCACAAGCACACACTAGGCAGTTTTTAAAATAATGCTCAGTCCCAGCACCGTGCTGACACTTTTCCCACCTAAACTTCTCAGCACAAGCCTGGCCTAAAAGCACAGCTAGGATCCCATCCGTGCACAGGGTAAAGGCGGCATGCACCCACGACAGGAACGGTGGGCAACGCCTGCCCCTTCCCGGACCAGTTCTGGCCAGACTGCGATGTAGTTCAGTCCCGTCTACTTTATGGTAATGTGCTTTTAAACCCTCTCCGCGATTGAGGTCATAGCTTTAGAGATCTAATAACAACCAAATGACTGGGGCTGCCGGGCACTTAGCGAGCCATTCTGGTTATGGCTCTTTAATAGTACCTGGAGTCCTGCTGAAGGGAGAGCGGAAAACTCCTGCTTCCGCGGAAAGAAAGTCCTGTGCAGAGCGCAGAGGGAAGCCGAGAACCCGACCGCGGGCAGGGGACGCCCCGCCGCCGCCGCCGCCGCCGCCGCGGCCCCATCTCTCGGGCAGCCCCAGCGCGCCCCTCGCCCCGCAGCGCGGCTGGCCCGGGCCGCACCTTTACCTGTCAGCCCCAGCAGCCCTCCGCGCTGCGGCCCCGCGGTCCAGGCGGCCGCCCGTGCGGGTCCCGGCACAGCTCTAGAGGCGGCTGCGGGAGAAAGAACCCCAAAGGCATCCCATCCCAAAGAAAGAAAGCAAAAAGGCTGTTCCTCCAGGCAGAGGGATATCGGGCACGTCGGCGTCCGAGAGGCGACACGCCACCCCTGCCCCGCACCTACCAGATAATCCATGTACAGAAACGCCTCAGTTATCCGGAGATCAGACATCCGGCAGCCTAAAGCATCCGGAACGGCTCCGAACCCGGAAAAAAAAGCAGCGTCTCTGGCTGCGAGGGAGCAGCCCCTGAAAAAGCCAGCAACAACGAAAATAGCCGAGAGCAGCCGAGGAGCCGAAGATTACACAAGGGGCGCGGCGATTGGCCGGGCGGGCGGGCAGAAGGAAAGGAGAGCGCTCATTGGCTGCGGTGACTATAAAAGGCAGGCCGCCGCGGGTGGCACGAGAGAAGCGCGGGAGCGGCCAGGGCGCTGGTTCCTGTGGACTGGGCGGAGGGGCGGAGACGGGGACGGGGGCGGGGGTGAGCGCGAGGGCGGTGCAGGCGGAAGAACCAGCGGGGAAAAGCGGAAAATCGGCTGGTGCTGCCTGAGTTCTGTAGCCTCCTAGCTGGGTACAGCCGAGCAGAACTCTGCCCTAGTGCTGGAGAGCCTTGGTGTTCCCTCCCACCGCCCCCCGAGTAGGAAGCTAGCGCTGAAACGTGGGAGGCGTGGTAGCCGCCGACACTTAATGCCTCTCTCCCGAGCGATTTCCTGAAGGCTCTGCGGCCTGGAGACGGCACATCGGGCAGGCTTAAAGTGTATCGGAGGGTAATCTGAACAGGCAAGCCGGTGACTCGGGGGTGGGAGGTGGTCCTGGGGGGGTCCCTCCCCACCTTCGGATGAGAAACGGCGAAGGCAGACAGCTCCAGCCTGATGTCCCTGGGGGTACAGTGAAGCCCCCGACGCGGTCAGAGGTAACCCAGGAGGCTGCCTCTTTACGCCGAATTGTTCCCGGAGAATTCACTCTCCACCACGTGAAAGGAAAAGACGAAAACTTTGGGGACTCGATATAAGTCGATTGTAGACCTCAAACACTGGGGAAGAAGAAGGTGATCAGTTGTTTGCATGCTTTGAGTCCAGTTACAGTGAGCACAAATCCATTGCCCGTGAGGAAAATGAGCAATAGAAGAAACTCTCTGGAAAGACCCAATTAATACAGTGTTTGTGACCCGATGTCATTTTAAGACGTAAAAGTATCTGTAAGCAGGTGCACTTGAGTCTTATACATTTCCTGGTTAAAAAACTTGGAAATTGTCATTGGATCTCACTATTGTATTAAGCTGGGGGAGGGGGAGCTGAGTCAGACAAGAAGCTGGATAAGAACACTAAAGGCTTTATCTTTTGAAGATTCAGGCTACACAATGCCAGACATCTTATCAGGCTCAGGTGACTGCAGTGTTTCCCCACCAGAGGTTAAGGAGGGTGAGGGGATTGCGCTCGCTTGTATCAATAATTAGAGCTTCCTTACAATAATATATCAAGAGTAAAACTTCAATTGAAATCTTTCTGAAGTGACTGCCTGACTCTGTTTTAGGGGTTGGATTTTTATTTTCCCCCTAATTTGGCACCTTTGTTTTTTGTATCCTCAGGAATGAATTTCCATACAAGTTTGCCTGGGGCTGCCCAAACAGTTCTATTAGATGACAATAGAATTCATCCTAAACATGCAGGTAACTCAGAGAGTGCAGCCCTTTAGAGGGAACTCCAGGTTGGTGAGCCATGTGATTTTGGGTAAGCTATCTCATCTCCCAGCTGAAAAATGGGAATTCCTATGGCCATAGGGTTTTTTGAAAAAACTAAAAGACTGTCAATATGCACACTTAGTACAGAGCTTGACTCTCTTGATCCAATTTACAGACAAGGGTGTGTGTGTATAAATAAGAAATTCTACTCCTGAAGAAATTTCAGTGAGTTTTTGCCTATGCAGGAGCTAACTCAACTGAATCGCATTAAGCCGTTGGATCCAATTTTGACTGTTCTTGGCATTCTATTAAATCAAACACATGTAGGTTTAGAACACATTTTGACCTGGATTCTGAAGGTGATGAATTTCCGTAAACCTACAGCACAATTGGGCCGGCCCTGTGGCTTGGTGGTTAAGTGCGCGCGCTGCAATGCTGGCGGCCCGGGTTTGGATCCCGGGTGCGCATCGAGGCACCACTTCTCCGTTCATCCTGAGGCCGAGTCCCACATGCAGCAACTAGAAGGATGTGCAGCTACGACACACAACTATCCACTGGGGCTTTGGGGGGAAAAAATAAAATAAATAAAATCTTTAAAAAAAAAAAAAAAAACCTACAGCACAATTGGTTGAAACTAATTGCAGAAGTTGAAGGCCTCTCTAACTTGCTAGCAAAAATAATTCAAATAGACAAGGAACCTTTCGGGTTTGTTTGTTTTCTTCTTTCCATGAGGAAGCATATTGCAAATAGATAAAGAGCTTGAGTTAGTAAAGAGACACCTTTTGGTCCATTTTCTTAGTGATAAATGATGTCTTGACTACCGCCAAGTCAGACTCTTGAGAAGCCTGTCAGTTTCTGTGCAGGGGAAGATAGTCACTCAGGAGCAGTCGGCTTCTGCCTTTACTTTAAAAGCTAACCTTAGAGAAAGTCCTGAACAGCAGGTCATTAAAACCACAACATGCTTCATGCTACCTCTAGGAATTAGTAAATGAGCCCAAAGCAGGGTGATGAACGAATGTGTTCAAGGAAAAGTTCCAAAGGCTGCACCATTGTACTCACCCTATTCCACACCATTTGCACATTTGTTTCAACTGGCACCAAAAAAAGCCTTGTGTTCCGTGTAATGTATTAAAAGAATCATATATTGCCTTTTGGAAGAGTCCTTGTAAAAGAAACCCTGAAGCTTCAGAACTCCATATGGAGCACATTTTTCTAATTAGGTGTTAATCTTCTGGGATGTTAATGTGTCTACTCTTGTGCACAAGAAAGAGGCCAACTAGATTATGTTGGTATAAATAGATAATACACTACCCACTACATGAAGCTGCGGTCTTAGCTGATAGGGGTGATAGTAACAGTAGTAATCACCCTAATTCATGTTAAAAATAGAGTGTTGAGAGCTTAGAAGGCATTCATTCAGCTTATCCCACTATATGCCAAGTAACAAACTGCAGTCTTGAATAAGACATGATCTCATTAATGTAGCCCTGCCTTTGCTCTCAATAAAAAGAATGACCCTCTTCCAGATGCATAAGAAAACATGGATAAACTCATGAGGCTATTGCATTACTACACAGGTTTTGAGGAAAGGCCATCACTGTTGCTTGTCAAAAGTAAGGAGAAATTCTTTTGACAGTCCATAGTCTACAATTCCATGAAGACTGCTGGCTAGCCAGATTTGGAGGAAAAATTTTTGGTTAATGTGTTGCTTGTAGGAAACAAAAACAGAAATGTGTTTTTGCAACCTGGTCTCCCAGATTCTAAAATCCAGAAAAAGCAACATTTAGTGGCTCTTTCCCTCTATTCCCTTTTTGTTGTTCATTTGATACATAATAACTAAAGAATACTGTCTTTACTAGTCTTGTATCATGCGCAGTCAATATATAAAGTTCATCATAAAACTCTTCATAAATGTTTAATGGCTATGCAAAGCTCTATTGTATAAATGTACTATGTTCACAAATCTATTAGATACTACTATTATAAATATTGCAGTGAATGTTTGCTTATAAAATTGTTCACATCTCATTATCCTAATGTCTAGAAATGAAATTACTAGTACAAAGGGTATAAGTACTTTTTTGTGTGTGTGAGGAAGATCAGCCCTGAGCTAACATCCATGCGAATCCTCCTCTTTTTTTGCTGAGGAAGACTGGCCCTGGGCTAACATCCGTGCCCATCTTCCTCCACTTTATATGGGAGGCCGCCACAGCATGGCCTGGCGAGCAGTACATCGGTGGGCGGCTGGGATCCGAAGCCCGGCCGCCAGCAGCAGAGCGCGCGCACTTAACCACTACGCCACGGGGTGGCCCTGGTATAATACTCATTTTTGTACTGGCTTATAGTCTCATCCCCCTGACCCCAACTCCAAAGTAGGGAGTGCTTATCTTGCCTCATTCTTGCCTTGATAGAGTATACTCTTCCTTAATAGCTGAGAGATGGTATCTTTCATTAGAGTAACTCAAACCATGGATACTCCTTTTTCAGAAAAAGTGGAGATGTCCTGACACTGAGTTCTACGCAGGTCATCAGGCACACTTGGTTTGCTCACTTACTGTCTCCAATAACTCCTGTGACCTTAAAATTCTCTTCTGAGCCCTGCCCTCTTTTTTTTCCAGATGGTTGCCTTCACACAAACACACACACACCCCACCTCTGATTTACCCCCAGTCCCCTTCCCTGCTTCCTAAACCTAAACAAAGTACCACTATGTCCTAGAAGATGAACCTCACCAGAGCGGGATGCCCCTACATGAAGCTGCCAGCAGAACTTGATTCATAAATGGAAGAGGTCAGAATGAGGTTGCAGGAGCAAGGACTTAACCCTAAGAAGATAACTCACCTCTTCCAAAAAGGATTTGCTGGGTCTTAGAATATTAAAGCAAGATAAGGCATTTAAAATGAAGAATCACCACTTAACGTGGTAAATAATTATACCAGAAAGAGGTAGCTAGACATCACAGGCAACTGCTATTCAAGCACCAAATATCAAGAAGCTATGTAAATCCCTCTTAATACCTCCCCAGCATCATTTAATCTCTTAGATGCAGTACTGCATCACTGATTGTATTAGTTTTCTATTGCCACTGTAACAAATTACCACAAACTTAATGACTTAAAACAACACAAATTTATTCTCTTAAAGTTCTGCAAGCTAGAAGTCCTGAATCTTATGGGGCTAAAATCAAGGTGTTGGCAAGGCTGGTTCCTTCTGGAGGTCCCAAGGGAGAATTCCTTGTGTTTTCCAGCTTCTGGTGGCTGTCTGCATTCCTTCGCTTGTGGCCACATCACTCCAGTCTCTGCCTCTGTGGTCACACTGCCTTCCCCTCTTCTGTAATCTAGTCTCCTACCTCCCTCTTCTAAGGACAATTGTGATTGCATTTAGGGCCTACCCAGATAATCCAGGATAATTTCCCTATCTCAAAATCCTTAATTTATCACATCTGCAAAGTCAGTTTTGCCATTTAAGGTAACATTCACAGGTTCCAGGAATTAGGACCTGATATCTTTGGGGCCATTATTCAACCTAACACACTGATCTTGTGCAGAAAAAGCAAATACTTCCATGGAAATCCAAAGGGACAAGCACAA